ACAAGAGTCCACATCCTGTTGCCATGTGCCCCAGCTCTTTCCCAGCAGGGACTGAGCCATCAAGGCCTCTGGGCTGTGGGTCACAGGTCCCCAAACCTGGGACCCAGCTTTCTCCTTAACACCCCTGTACTGTCTCCCATGCCCCATCTCACACACTGCAGGTGAAGGGAACTCTGCCCTGTCCCCCCTGAACCCTGGAGAGCTGCTGATTGCACTGCACAACATTGATACGGTCAAGTGCGACATGAAGTCTATCATCAAAGGTGAGGGGCTGTCCCCACCCTAGTCCCCTTGCCAGGTTCTGGAGCTGGTGCCTCCTGCAGCTCCCCGTTGGCTCCAGAGTGGGTACCTGCCTGTCCCCCTCTGAGCACCCCTTGCTCTTCCCCATCTGAGGCACCCCTACCACGCACTGGCATGGAATAGCCCAGGATAAATGTGGGGGACACCTTCTTTGCCCCACCCCAGCCTGAGGACTAGGCAGCTGACCCCATAGCTGAGCAGGCTGAGACCCAGCTGACAAGCAGCTTAGTCAGGAAGTGAGCCCCACCAGGTGTGCACTGGGATGTTTCCGGACTGAGATCCAGCCAGGGGAGCAGGCCTCCAAGGCGGTGGGGGTCTGCACTGCCTCACAGCACCCTTCACAGACAGCTAGCTCACTCTCAGCCAGCCTCCCTCCAGCGGCTCCCACACCTGCACCCTCACCACACGTCTCTTAAAGAAACAGACACCGGAGAGGTTAAGTGACTTGCCCAGGGTCACACAGCAGCTCCGCTGTGTAATGGAAAAAATACAATACAGGCTCCAAAGTCAGATGGACCCAAGTTGGAAGCTCAGCCCTCACTGTTCCACCCACGTGAAGCCCACAGTGTTTCAGTACTATCGCCCTGGAGCAGCCCTGCTTCCTCCGCTCCCTTCCAGGGGAGGCTACAGCCCTGGTCAGCCTCTCCCTGTGTGCAGGTGCAGTGTCTTTGACTCTTCTCTGAGGAGAGCAGGCAGAGTGGGTCTTCTGTGACTAGTTTCTTGTTCACCTGAAGTAACTGCTTCAGCTACTTGTCAGTCGTCGTCCACAGGTTTTTTTAGGGTCTGGGCTGAGGTCATACAGAGACTTCAGGTGACGTTCAAGTCCACGTTCATACTGAAGAGGAGAGATTTGGAGTTGGTGGTGCGTGGCTGGGTGAGATCTGGGAAGTGGAAGCTGGTCCATGGCGGGTCCGTTAGGTGCCCAGAGCAGTTCAGGATCCACTCTCAAGGATGAGATGCATGGGTATGCCCCCAAAGCCCTTCATGGGCCTTGCCCCTGCGTTCCTTAACCACCTGTGGTACAGAGTCAGGCCTGAGAGGTCTTTCTGTGATCACACACGTGCTCAGTAGCCAGGCCTGGAGGGTCAGCAGGTGGCACCCTTTACTCCCGTCCTTTCTCACAAGGAGCCCTGAGCAGCAGCACCCCTCTGCAGAACACTCTGCCCTCCACACCCACTGGGGGCCAGTCCCCACACCCAATTAGCCTGCACCTGTTCTGACAGCACCGAAGGACTCCTCATGGGGTAGTGGCTGGAAAACATGACTGCTAATCAAAAGGTTGGAGGTTTGAACACCCCCAGCCACTGCAGGAGAAAGATGGGGCAGTCTGCAGCCGTGAAGGTGCACTCACTGCCCTTGAGATGGAGTTGATTTGTAGCTGACCCTCCAGTGGGTTTTTGGAGGCTGCAGATGGCACAGGCCCGTGGAACCATGGCCAGAGAGGTGCTGCCTTTGGGTCACTAGTGCAGCTCCCTGTGGACCCCCTCCGTCAGAGCCCCCTCTGTGGGATTCCAGCCTGGAAGCCACGTGGGATGGTTCTTTGTCCTCTGTCCCATAGAGGTGTCAGGAGTTGGAATCCACTAAATAGCGAGTTTGGGGTGCCAGACTAAATCCTGATTGCACAAAGACCATTGCGTATGCTATGGGGTTCCCCATATCTGATGCCATATGTGGGCACCACCTCCCTTGGAGGCCTCACCCCTCTTAATGAGCTCTGTGTTACTAGACAAGCTCTGGGTGGGGCTTTCCACCTGCCGTTAAAACAGCCTTCTACTGGCCCTGCTCTCCTGCAGCTTCAAGGCCAACCCAGGAGACAGGCTTAACCCCGGACAGTAGAATGGGGGGGGGGGTCCAGAGTATTCCAGGAACGCTTAGAGAGCAAGGAATGCGGTGGCAGCCTGGTCCTGGAGCAGTTGGCCGGAAAGGGTTGCCTGGTCTAGAGAGGTCAGGCTGGAACGGGGAAAACCTTGGCCTTGAGCTCTGGAGAGTCAGGTGTGGGGGTGAATGTAAAGACTATGGTAGAAGGGCTGGGGCGCTGAGGGGCACATGCAGGAGCCACTGGCCATCTGAGGGAGCAAGTGCTTCTGGTTTCCCTGTAGGTTCTCCCACATTCCTCCATATCTGCCCCAGACCCCCAGCTCCTCACCAGTTCCCCCAGCTTCTCTCCAGCCCCCATTCCTCACAGGTAGACCCACACTGCTCCCCACTAGCCTTGTAGGCCTCCCTTCTAATTCAGTAAAGAGGTGTTCACTCACACACACACAAACAGCAGATCGTGTTTGGGGAAGAGAGTTCTGAGGCAACTTGCTCTATGTTAGCACAATGGAACGGGATATGCCTCTCTTTGACATTGGGGCCCCAGCCCCACAACCTTGCTCACCTGTCATCTTGGGCTCTGAGCCTCATTTTCTTGACCCATCTTCTTGTGAGCTACCTGCTCTCTCTGGGCACCCCACATAGCCCCAGGCCTGGTGTCCCCCACGCTCCCAGCTCGATAGTGGCAGGTCTTTCCTGTGTCTTCTGTGCCTCTCCTCACCGGAGAGGGCCTGTCACACCCCATCAGACCTGAGTGAGTCTCCCATAGTTGGCCATGTCTCCCACTCGGTCCATCTTTAGGGAGGGTGGCTCCAAAAAGAAGGGGCCAAGCTCTCGTAGTTTGGGCTTGGCCAGGGCTCCCCTCCGGGCGAACTCCAGGGCTCCCACATACCCGGCAGCTGGACCGAGGACAGGGCCGCTGTCCCCCTCCTCACAGCCACCAACCTGTGCTTCGCGGAGCGGAACGTGTACACGTCGGAGGTGCTGGCCGTGGTGATGCAGCAGCTGATGGAGCAGAGCCCCCTGCCCATGCTGCTCATGAGGACGGTCATCCAGTCCCTGACCATGTACCCCCGCCTGGGGGGCTTCGTCATGAACATCCTGTCCCGCCTCATCATGAAGCAGGTATCCACCCCCTGCCCAGCCCCCAGGTGCCCGCTGAGGCAGGCTGCTCCTCTTCCTCCTCCCCCTCCCACCTCCTTCCAGGCAGTGCCGACAGGAGAGGGCTACACCCCCAGTTCACCCGTGTAGATGCAGGTGTGGCTGCCTCCCCCGCTGCCATGGCTTACCCCCTTCCACACTGTGGGACCCCAGACGCGCCCTTAGCCCTCCCTCGGCCTGTCTGCCCCTGGGAGGACACCATGCGAGAGGGGGCAGTCCCCACCTTTTCCACGTCTTCCTGCAGCTGGATGGGGGACAGGAAGCCCTCTGGGGGGAGGCCTGGCCATGGGGTTCCTGTGCTTGTGGGGCGCAGGACCTATCTTGCCAGGGTCTCACACGTGCCCGCCCCCCCCCCCAGGTGTGGAAGTACCCCAAGGTGTGGGAGGGCTTCGTCAAGTGCTGTCAGCGCACCAAGCCCCAGAGCTTCCAGGTCATCCTGCAGCTGCCGCCCCAGCAGCTGGGCGCCGTCTTCGACAAGTGCCCAGAGCTCCGCGAGCCCCTGCTGGCGCACGTCCGCTCCTTCACCCCCCACCAGGTATCCTGGGGTGCCAGCCAGTGGGGGGCGGCCCGCGGGGGATCCCACACCTCCCCAGCCTTCACCTCCTGTTTCTGCTCCAGCAAGCGCACATCCCCAACTCCATCATGGCCATCCTGGAGGCCAGCGGCAAGCAGGAGCCCGAGGCCAAGGAGGTGCCCCCGGGGCCCCTGGAAGAGGTGAGGGGCCTGCAGCCCGAGAGGACAGCCCCCAGCCCCACCCGCTTCCCTCCGCAGAGGGGCTGCCTGGAGGACGGGGACTGGGGACAAGCCCCTTTCCCGCCCACCCCCACCGGTCAGTGCTGCCACTCACACCCGCAGGATGACCTGGAGCCCCTGGCCCTGGCCCCACCCCCGGCCCCCCGGCCCCCTCAGGACCTCATTGGCCTGCGGCTGGCCCAGGAGAAGGCCCTCAAGAGGCAGCTGGAGGAGGAACAGAAGCTGAAGCCGGGGGGCGCAGGGGTCTCCTCCTCGGCCTCCGCCAGGCCCGGCCCGCCCCCGCCCGAGGAAACCATGGATTTCCGGGAGGAGGGTCCGGAGGGCGAGACCCCGTCCATCTTCATCAGCATGGACGACGACTCGGGGCTGACAGAGGCTGCGCTCCTGGACTCGAGCCTCGAGGGTCCCCTCCCCAAGGTAGGGACAGCCCCCGTCCAGGTGCAGGTGCAGGTGCGAGCCAGGGCCCCGTGAGGGCTGACCCTGGACGGGGGTGGAAACTGGACAGTGGGACCCCGCTGCCACTGACCGGCCCCCCTCTGTCACCAGGAGGCGCCGGCAGTGGCCGGGCTGACCTCCAAGGAGGAGCGGAGCCCCCAGACCCTCGCGCCTGCGGGAGAGGACGCCAGGAAGACCCCCAGCCCGGCCGCCGAGGAGGCTGGGGAGCCCGAGACCAAGGGGAACAGCTGATGGGCTGGGAGGGCGGGCGAGCGGGCGCGCATTTGCCGCGACAGAAATAAAAAGATTCTCGGAACGGATGAGCTTTCAGTGTCTTCCCTCCGCGGACCAGGCCCCCACCCCCGGGGGCTCGCGGCCTCCGAGCCCCCCCCCCCCGTGTGCTGCGCCTGCGCCCTCCCCTGCCTCCCCTGGTAACGGCCCGCCCCCTCCCCAGAAACTGACAGCGCTGGCTTAGCAACTGCCGGGCATTATTGGCCGGCGAGTGCTCTGGCCGCCTCTGCGTGCCCTTTGCAGCCATGGGGGACAAGCCGCCCTACCCTGAGCGCCCTGCAGCCCCAGAGCCGCCTGCGGGCCTGGAGGATTCCCCAGACGCAGATCAGCACCCTGACCAAGGCTTCCTTTACCCCCAGCCTGCGGGCCTGGAGGAACAGCTGCAGATGCCCTTTAGCCCCCAGCAGGAGCTCTGGACCAGTCACCCCAACTTCACACAGATGACCCAGGCCTTCCAGGCCTCCGAAACCCAGCGGGATGGTGTGGGGTACCCCATCCAGGGCGTCCTGCAGCCCCAGGGGTACCAGCCCTATCCCTATATGGATGGAGGCGGAGCCAGGAGCCAAGGCATCCTGCTGCAGCACCTGGAACAGGATCCCAGCCACCTCTTCCAGCGCCTGGACACCGCTTACCAGGACCTGCGCCCTGACCTCCTGGACCCGTTCTACCCCCGAGAGGACCTGCCGCTGGAGAGCCCCCAGCATGGGCCCTACATGAGGGACGACCCCACGCTTCACTACTCCTCCTCTGACCTGGGCTTCATCTATAACCTGGAGGTGCCGGAGCCCGAGCCTCGGGAGCTGGCAGTGCAGAACGCCAAGGCCTACCTGCTGCAGACCAGCGTCAAATGCGACCTCAGCCTGTGAGGAGGGCAGGGAGGGAGCCCCCTGCCAGGGCCTCGCCCCAGGGTCGGGGTCTCATCGGTCAGATCACCCCTTAGAGCAAGTGACTGCCCTGGAGCCATCTTAGATGAGGAATCAGGGGCCTGAAACAGGCAGACCGCGGGATACAGATAAGATACATTCCTGAACATGAGATTTGTAGGTGATCGAAAAACGGGTGCTGGCAGTTATTTGACCTGGGAGCCTTGGTGATGATTAGGCTGCTAACCTAAAGGTTACCAGTTCGAATCCACCAGCTGCACCGAGGGAGCTGTACCATCCTGTTAAGATCAATAGCCTCAGAAATCTGATGGCAGGTCACCAAGAGCTGGAATCACCTCAATGGCAGTGGGCTTTCAGCTCGTGCAAGAAGGGGCTCAAAAACCTTTTTAATTCTTTACAAGTTGCACATGTAGCAAATGGAGGTGGATGTGATGAATTTGCTTCAAGTAGAGGTTGGTTCCATTATTCCAAAATAACCAAACATTTCCCTCACATTAAGGGACAAGTTCATAACCGGACTATTCCTAGCCTGGGAACTTAACTAGCCAGGTTAATCGAACCAGCCAAACACACACTGCTCCAACTCGCAGCTCCCTGGCTTTCCAAGGAGTACTGAGGGGAGGAGACTAGCCAGCTTTCTGCAGTACTGATCGCACCAGACTAACAAATGGTTAGCATTCAGGGACCACATACGTGCCAAGCACGTCACCACTGATATTAGTCCTTTTCCCAAGACTCATCACCACATTATCTAGCCATGTTTTACAAGGAAACTTGAGACTGCCTGCTTATCCAAAATCCCTCAGGATGTGGCTGCTTTAGGATTCTAGGACAAGCGAGCTGGCTCTCGAAACCATGTTCTTATCCACTGAGCCCCCTGCCTGGTGAAGGAGCTGGCCGAAGTACTTAGCTGCAGCCATAACACACCTCTTAGGCCCATCACAGCCCCATAAAACTCACCAGTTAGTGAAGAACGTGAATAAACAAAAGAAGGTGAAAAATGAACTAGGGTCAGGGAGATAGGACGTGCCTGTTAAATGAGGAGGTGAGAGAAGGCTTCTGGGGTGACAGGGGACACCTGGAGGGAGGGGAACTCAGGTATGAGGCATTGCAAGTGCAAAGACTGAGGATTATGGCTTTTGAGGAACACTGAGGAGGCCAGAGTGGCTGGAACCAAGAAATCAAGTGGGAACAGGAAGAGATGAGGTTAACGAGTCTTACTGAACTAACCCATCTCTCCTCTGCTTAAAACTTTCTATGGCTCCCCAGTGCCTTCAGGAGAAACACAAGTTGCTCACCAATCTTCAGGGACCCTGCTCTTCTCTAAACTTCATCTCTAGTCTACACTTCCTGGAGTCCAGTTAAAATGAACCTCTTGCTGTTCTCAATCCTCAGGAAGATCCCTCCTCAAAACTCCCAGCTGACAAGGTCTGCCTGTCCACACAGCAGAGAGTTATACAGATATGCCTTGGAATCACACCAAATGGTTTCAAATCCAAACTGCCACTACTGTGTGACCTTATGACTTAACAGGGACCGTGACTGTTTCCTGGGCATATGGTTGTAGTAAGAATTCAGCATTGCTCTCAAGGACCCAACATGGCACCAGGCTCAGTGGATGGAAACCACTGTGGTACAATTTATACTCTAGCCTTCTCCTATAATCCCTAACACCAGTTCAGCTCACTGTTCCCTCATCATGCCAGACACCTCCTATCTCAAAGCCTTTGCACATTCCCAATCATTCAAATCTGCAAACCATGACAATTTTTGTCTTTTCCTGTTTTTTGTTTTCTTTTTCATGTCATATTACATTGGCTGAACACTCCAATACTGTGTTCAGTAGAACTGGTGAAAGTGGGAATCTTCATTTCCAATCTCACAGGACAAAGTATTCACTCCTTCCCATGGTGAATTGGCATGTAGTGTAAATGATTTAGGACTTCCCTTTATGATGTTGCTGTCATGTGTCCGTGAGTCACAACTCATAACAACCCTATGTACAACAACTCAAAAACCTGCTCTATCCTGTGCCAACTTGACTGTCTTCTGACACACCTATCCTCATAACCCCAGTCAATCCATCTCATCAATGGTCTCTGTTTCTCTGTCCCTCCACCCTTCCAAGCATAATGTCTCCAAAGATCAGTCCCTCCTTGCAACATTTCCAAAGTATGTCAGATAAAGCTTCAGAATCCTTGCCTCCAAGAGGCAGCCTGGTTTCACCCTCTCCAGGATGAACCTGTTTGTTCTCTTATCAGTCCATGGTATATTTAACACTCTTCTCCAGCAACACAGCTTAAAGAAATCCATTCTCTTTCTAGCATCCCTAGTTACCATCCATCTCTCTGATGGGTAGCAAGCAATTGTGAAGACTATGGCCTGGCTCGGGCACACCTTAGTCTCCAGACTGACATCATTGCTCTTCAGTACTCTGGAAATGTTTTCTCTTTATGAGTGCAATAATTCCCCCTTCATGGAGTGCTGATGGTGCAGTATGTAATGTGTCAGGCTGCCAACTGAAAGATTGGCAATTTGACTCCACCAGCTCCTCCCATAAAGATTTCCAGCCTCAGAAACTTGGCAGGTGGGAGGGTTACTATGAGTCAAAACCAACTCAACAGCAGTGGGTGTTCTGCTTTGTCTTTTCATTCCAACCTAAGGAACCCCTGGTGGGTTGCTATGGAAAATCAGCAGTCTGACTCTGTAATCTGCTCTGTAGCAGAAAGATGAGGCTGTCTCTTCATAAATAAGATTTACAGCCTTGGAAACTCTATGGTCAGGTCAGCTCTGCCCCACTGGGTCAAAACCTAACTTGACAGCTCAAACCAAAACACTCATTGATTGAGTGTTGAGTTGGTCCAACTTACAGTAATCCTCCCTGGGGTCTCCAAAGCAGTGGCCGAGCAATCACAGGCGGCCCCGGGAGGTGCAAAAGCTTAAGCACTTGAGTATTAGCCAAAAAGTTAGTTTGAGCCCAGAGGTGCATCAGGAGACAGCCCTGGTGTTGTGTCTGAAAAGTCACAGAATTGAAAACACTAGATGAGGGAGTTCTGATGGCCAAGTGGCAAGAAGCTGCACTGCAATCCCAGAGGTGCGCAGTTCAAATCCACCAGGGGCAATCTCCTCCTGTACCAGTCAGATCCGATTTGATAGTACACACACAAAATATAAATTATTTTTTTTAAAAAAGACTCTTTAAAAAAAAAAACAAAACCCTAGATGGAGAAATGAATCCAAAGGAAAAATCACAAAAGCCACTCCCTGACATGTTAGGTGACCATCAGATAAATTTTCCACCCAAAGTGACCCACGTGACAAAGCAGAACTACCACATACTATTGTCTAGGCTGCTGTCTTTGCAGGAACAAATGGCCAGGTCTTTCGCTCATGGAGTCCTTAGGTGGGTTCAAACCACCAACCTTTAGGTCAACAGCCAAACTCTGTAACTGTTTAGCAACCAGGGCTCCTTCTTGACAAACAGTATTTTGCATATTTGAAGACTATCCAGGCTCCTCCAAGAGCCCTTGGTGACCTCAAAAGATCGGCAGGTGTATTCCATCAGTGCTGCATGGGAGAAAGACATACCATTGTCCTCCCACAAAGATGTACAGCCTTGGAAACCCCGTGGGGTTCTGCTCTGTCCTACAGGGTCACTGAGAGCCGGAATAAACTCAAGGGAAGTGGATTTGGTTGGGTTTGTAACCATCCAGGTTCAGCTAGAAATGCAGCAAACAGGGCGATGTTAGGAGCCAGCAGGTTGACTCACAGAGACCCTGCAGGCAGCAGAGCTAGCCCAGCCCGATCCTGGGCAGCCTCACAACCTGCTGAGGGTCCTTCCTCTTTTCCTCTGCATGACTGACTGACTGGTGACTTGGAACCAACTCATAGCTGTACCCTCTACTGGTTTCCCAAGGTCATAACTGGCTCGAGAGGAGAGGATTGCCCATCTTTCTAACTCAGAGCTGCTGGTGGATTTGAACCACTGGAGAGGTGCGGGCTTTGGCTTAGTAGTGCAGCTCCCTATGGATTACGCCACCAGAGAGGCTACAAACTGCTTACCACGTAGAGAGCTAGAACTGGGTTGGGAACCAGTATCCACTAATAAGTATAAGAAAGAATTAGCTTTCTCCAAGTTTCCATTTTAGGGTAGTCACTGCTGGGAATCCTGATGCGTGAGGTGTAAGGTTAGGAGTTTGAGTCCACCAGATGCTCCTTGAAAGAGCAAGTGTCCTATAAAAATTTACAGCCTCTGGCCTCTCTTCCATATATCCTTTCTAGGAGAGAGGGCAAATCCTTTGGGATGTAGCTTTCTACAAAATCTTTCTTTACCTTTTATTTTTAAAAAAACTTTAACGCCTCCAACACCTGACAGAGGGCTACTATGAAGCAGAATTGACTTAGTAGCAGTGGAACTGGCTTAGTTTTATAGACTTGTTAGGAAGTGGCACAATGTTTAAAGTCACCAAAAAATTAAAGGTTTAAACCTACTAGCTGGTCTATGGGAGAAAGATAGGACAATTGGCTCTTGTAAAAAAAATTCTTGGCGAGCTCTGGTGGCCTAGTGGCAAGAAGCTACACTGCAATTCAAGAGGTGCATGGTTCGAATTCACCAGATGCTCTGCTGGAGAAGGAGGGGCAATCTCCTCCTGTACCAGTCAGATCTGATTTGATGGTACACACACAAAATATAATAAATTAAAAAAAATTTTAAATTGTTATATACCACTGAGTCAGAAACATCTCATAGCTGACCCTCCAGAAGGTTTTCAGAGGCAGTAAATCACACAGGAGATTGCCCGTCTTTCTCCCACAGAGCAGTTAATGGATTGAAAAATAGTGCCCTTTGAGTTGGAAGCACAGCCCTTACCATGAGACGCCCAGATCTCCCCTTTCCTAAAACATTACAGCTCCACTGTCTGATGGGGTCATTCAAACGTAACACAGTGACATCAAGTTGGAACCACCTCATTGCTGGTCTTCTGTTACATTCCTGAGGCTGTATATAACAGGAGGATTGTCCATCTTTCTCTCACTGAACCACTGGTGGGTCTGAACTGCCAGAGAAGTGTAACCTTCCAGTTAGCAGCGCAGCTAGAACCCCTCCCAGGGTCACTAAGACTGGGATTGACTCCCCGGCAGTGGGTTTGGTGGGGGGTTGCTGTTTCCATTGGAATGTTAGCTCCACGGGGCCCTTGTCTTTTCTCCCTGCTTGGACTGGGTGAGTTTAGAGTGGATTACACAGGCCCAGGTATGTAGCAGTAAAGCCCGCTGAGCTGGGTGGGTCATTTCTTCCCCCTGTGAAGGTATGAGCACTTGGTGAACCTACTGACCAAGATCTTGAACCAGCGACCCGAAGACCCTCTGACCATCCTGGAACCACTGAACCGCACCACACAGTGGGAGTGGTTTCACCCCAAGCTGGACACACTGCGAGATGACCCTGAGATGCTGGCTACATATGAGATGGCGGAGAAGCAGAAGGCACTGTTCATCCGTAGCAGTGGCGGTGGTGAGGGTGAACAGGAGATGGAAGAGGAGGTGGTGAGTGGGGCCGGGTGGGGGGGGGTGTCCCACGGTGGGACGGGCACTGCCCTGGATCAAAGGAATAGCCAGAGCTGAGGCTTGGGAACACTGGGCTGGGGTTGATTTTTATTCAGTTTATATTGAGTTGAACTGGGTTAGTTAAGACTGGATAGAGTGGAGTCAGGTTGAGTTGAACTCAGTTAAGATCAGATTGAGTTGAGTCAGGTTGAGTTGAATTGAGTTAGGCTAACCTGAGTTGAACTGGATTGAGTTCCTCATCTGAGGCCTATAGGTGAAGGAATCATGAGCAGAAATGACAACAATTTAATTGGGGGGGGTGTTCCTAGAGAGGGGCCAAGAGCCAGGCCAAAAAAAGCCTTGAATGCCACCCTGAGGGCACTGGGTACCATGGTAGAGTAGAGGTGGAGGCTTCTCTCTCCCATCATAGTTCCCCTTCCTCCAGAAAAAAGACTGTTCTGTACAGCTTTTCTGTGAAACCCACTGCCTCCCAGAATCTTACAACACTAAACCAATTGCTCCCTTCTCCAGCCCAAGTGTCTCTGTTTATAAACATGGCTTTATCAGTCCATGGCCCCATCTGCCTCTTCCCAGCCTCAAAATACAATGTCCATAATTCTGCAGTTCTGGAGTTGATCAAATGTTGAAAATTTGGCGAAGCACTTTTTATTTATTCAATGAAACTTTATGGAGGGTTCATAATTGGGAGTTCTGGTAGCCTAGTGGCAAGAAGCCATGCTGCAATCCCAAAGGCACTCAGTTCAAGTCCATCAGCCAGGTGCTCCATAGGAGAGAAATGGGAAGTCTCCTCCCATGCAATTAACTGCCTCTGAAAACCCACTGGAATGGGTCGGTTCCAAATTAATGGCACACATCAACTGTTCGTAATAACACTACTGACATTTAATAGACCTCTGTATGCTCTCATTTCACCCCTAAAATAATCTTATGGAAGCCTAAAACTCAAACTCACTGCTATGTTTAGTGGATCCCAACTCAGCCACACTGCAGGACAGAGAAGAACTGTCACATGTTGTTGTTGGTGTTGTAGTTATGTGCTGTCGAGTTGACTATGACTCACAGATCTAGGCAGGACAGAGAAGATTGTCCTATGGGGTTTACAAAGCTGTAAATCTTTGCGGAAGCAGCAGACTATCTCATCTTTCCCCTCCATAATTATCTGATATAGGTGAACTACCAAACCTTTCTGTTAAGGAGGCCAATGCTTAACCCACTGTGCCACTGGGAATCATAATCTTTTTTATAGATTTATATTATATAATATATATTTATAATATTATATTA